TGCAGGTCCAGCAAAGGGCCTCAGAGCCCATGAGGTGACTGGAGCCCCTGGAACAGGAGCACTGCTTGATTGTACACCCCGGAGGAGAGGGGGCATCTGGGCACACTGCTCAGCAATGGCTAAAACAGCTGTGGGAGGAGTCCAGAACACAGAGTCAAGCTCTCCTGAGTCTTCTGCAGAGAAGGGACAAGAGGAAATTGGCACACTGGAAATAGGGAAATTCTGGGGAAACATAAGAAAAGATGTTATTAGTGCGAGGGTGATAAAGAACTCGTCTGTGGTTGACACGGGCAGGTTGAGGATTGTTTGTGCTTGTAGAAATTCAGGACTTGACCCTGAGCATCCTCCAAGAGCTGATCATGCTGTGCAAAGGGGTGGTTGGACTAGGTGATATCCAGAGGTTCCTTCCAGTCTCACGGAGTCTGTCATGGGACAAAAACAGTGATGCAGAGCTGCCTCTGAGAAGGAAGAACTGGATGTGAACACTGGAATCAAGGGCAGCCACACCACAGAGAGTGGAGAGAAAGAGCTGGTGTCAGGGAGGAAATGGGAAGCAATGTACAGCCCCCAGACATCAAAAATCTTACACTCAGTGAGGCATCTGGCAGGATGGAGGCACGTGTGAAGAGTAAAATAAGTTAGAAAAGCTGGCAGCAGCTTAGGCATGCTGTGGTCAAAGATTAAGAAAGGTCCAGGAAAAATACAAGAAACCAAGAGGAGCTCTGAGCATAGGGGATGTGCTCAGGAGGGCCCTGGGTACAAAACCAGGCCACATCAAGGAGTGCTGCACTTCCCTGCCCTGCAGACATGCAGGCAGCTGGGATGCATCCCAGAGGGCGAGGGAATGCCTTCAGTAGGCAAATTTCCAGGGAGGGACTCTCTCTACCTGTGGCGAGTCATGCTCTAATTTTGGGTTGGCTGTGTGTCAGCCTTTGGTGAAAGGCCAAGCCAGGAGGGTGTGATGTCTGCAGGTTTTGTTCCAGGGCAGGATGAGTTCCCCTCCAGCAAGGGCAGCTCCTGTTATGCAAAGAGAAAACATCTTCAATACTGGGCGGTAGCCAAGCCCAGAGCTCCAAACAGCCACACTACACACCTTGCCCTCAGCAGGACCTTACTGTCTGCCAAGGAAGGTGGAAATCAGTGTTACCATTTCCCCCCGGTCCCATGATCCCTTCCTTCCAAAAACACCCCCAGCACATCTTCTGCCTGTGCTGATGTATCCCTGCCTGGGAAATCCTTCAGTCTTTCATCTCAATACTTGAAAGGATCCTTGGATGCTTAATGATCACGTCAGGAATGAGGAAAACAAATGGTAGTGTTGATGGAAATAAAAGCACAGCCTGTGGCATTAGGGAGGATATTTTGCTTTGGAGGTGAGTCTGTAGGAAAATTACTACCCTTGTGCTGTGACTGTGGGCCTGGGGCGATGCAGGGACAATATAAGAGAGAGCTTGTCCTTACTCTCTCATCCACTCCTCTTGCCTCAGTCTGCTTGGGACCAAGGTGAGTTGGGTCACTTTTATCCTCTCCTTCCTCTTCCTCCTCCTGTTTTCCAGTGCATATCTGTCACTTGGTCCTATGCTGCATCATGGGACTACTCTGTGAGAGGTGGAATGTGAGAGAGGGTCATATGGAGGGAGGCTGGGGCTTTCCTGAAGAGTGATAGTCTGGGCAGGAATATTCTGAGATTGGTTGCTCTTGGCAGGGAACCTGTGGACTAAACATTATCACTCTACAACTTCCTGAAGGGTAGTTGTAGTCAGGTGGGGTTGGTATCTTTCTCCAAGCAGTAAATGACAGAACAAGAGGTCACAGTCTCAATCTGTATCAAGGGAAATATAGGTTAGATATTAGGAAAAAGTTTTTCATGCAAAGTGTGGTAAAGTTCTGCAATGGTCTGCCCAGGGAGGTGGTGGAGTCATCATCCTGGGATGTGTTTAAAAAAAACTGGATGTGGCACTCAGTGCCATGGTTTAGTTGAGATGTTGGGGCTGGGCTGGACTCGATCTTGAAGTTTGCTTCCAACCTGGTGATTCTCTGATTCTGTGAAATATGAGGAAAAACCTGTAGACATCCTTGTGTCTCCATCTCTTGTCACCGTCTTGGCTGGAGTCATGGTGTTGTGACAGGCTGCACTTCAAACACCTCTTACAGGCTTCTCCTCTCTGCTCTCTCTGCCAGGTGCATCTGCAGCCCCAAGCCATGTCCTGCTACAGCCCGTGCCGGCCCTGCCAGCCCTGTGGCCCCACCCCGCTGGCCAACAGCTGCAATGAGCCCTGTGTCAGGCAGTGCCAGGATTCCCATGTGGTCATTGAGCCCTCCCCTGTGGTGGTGACCCTGCCTGGGCCCATCCTCAGCTCCTTCCCACAGAACACCGTGGTGGGATCCTCCACCTCTGCTGCTGTTGGCAGCATCCTCAGCTCTCAGGGAGTGCCCATCAGCTCTGGCGGCTTTGGCCTCTCTGGCCTGGGCAGTGGCCTCTGTGGCTTCCCCTGCTGAAGCTGCTGCTGCTGGCCCTGGGGAAGGAAGCCAGGGACTCCCAGGATGGAACCGCCCTGGGCACGCAGCATCGGCTCCTTGCTTCCTGAGGGGCTGAGCAAGCCCGGCAGCCCTTGCCCAGGGACAGGGCCAGCCTGGGCTCTTGGGAAGCACAGCCCTGCCCTGCCTCTGTCCCCTGACACTCTCTCCTTTCCCTCCTGTCTCCTTGTTCCCTTGTGCTCCCTGGGGCTGTGAGCCCCACACAGCCATCCTGGGCAGCACCTGCTGGCCCTGCTCCCTCTCCGGATCCGGAAGAAGGACACTTCCTGGGGCACAGATTCCCTTCTGTCCCTCATGCTCTCTGCACTGAGACCTCCAGATGGACCAACCTTATTTCTGTGTTTTGTCTCATTAAATTTCAGTTGCATCCCAGCCCATGTGTCTGTGTCATCCTTTCCCCTGCAGGTTCTTTCTCAATATGCCTTGAGGAAAATACGTTTTTAAGAGCTGTTTTTGTGAGGGTTTGCTTGGGATGAATATGCAGTGATGGATAATAGCATTTTCTGGGTTCTACTCAAAGTTGAGTTCCATTTCACCAAATTAACCCTTCCACAGATTCTTTGCACTTGGAGCTAGAATGGTGCTGATAACACAGAAATATTTTGGGTTTTTCTGGGCAGTGCTTGCCCATCATAAACCCTGTCTCTCCACCCTCCTCTCCAATAGGTCATGAAGGTGAATGTGCTCAAGAGACTGGGAGAGGACATAGCCAGGCTGCCTGACACATGCTGACCAAAAGGATTTCAATACCATGGGACATTATGGTCAGCGAAAAATGCTGAGAGGAAGGAGGAGGAGGAGGCTGGCTGGGGAGCTTTTATTAATAGACTCATTGTCCCACCAAATTTTTTTTTGAGAAACTGACTGCTCATGACTTGAATATGGGTTGTATTCACTGGATAAAAGTTTGGCTTTATGGCCATTCTCAGAGAGTGGTGGTGAACAGAGTTAAGTCCAGTTGATGGCCAGTGACTAGTGGTGTTGCCCTAGTATTTGGGCTCAGTATTTTGTCCACTTCTGATCAGTATCTTCGTGGATGACCAGGGCCAGGGGATCAAGTGTATCCTCAGTAAGTTTGCAGATGACTCCAAGCTGGATGTCAGTGTTGATTTTGTAGAGGGTGGAAAGGTTTTATGGAGGGATCTGGACAGGCTGCATCAATGGACCTAGGCCAACTGTATGAGGTTCAAAAAGAGCAAATGCTTGGGTCACCACAGTAGCCTGCATCTCTACAGTTTTGGGGCAAAATGGCTGGAAAACTGCCTGGGGGTAAGGACATGGGTGTGCTGGTGAACAGCAGTGGAACATGAGCCCAGACTCCATCATAACTGCTGGGAGAGTCCACAGGCTGAACTTGGGATGCTTATTGGATAAGAACCACACTCTGTACACATTGAATACTTTTATCAGGGATTAAAACTTTGTTTTGTATTTCTTTGAATACATTTTTGCAGTCAGATACTATCACTGGCAATCCTTGAACCGTAATCTGTCACAATTTTATGTGATTCAGAGTATTATTCCATAAACTGTCAGTGTCAGTCCTTCACTGGTGTTTGCAGTGTCTGTTAGCAGGGAACATACTGAAATACAATGGAAAATCCACTATGGGGTCAAAAAGTTGGAAGATCTGCTGAGGAGTCTCCCTGAGGATGATGGTGTTTCCCTGACTGAGTCAGTACAGCTGCCCTCCAATCCAGCAGGATGGCTCAGTGAAGGGTCCCCCTAATTGGACAATGACAGAATGGTTGGGCAGAAGGGTCTCAGCTTTTCTGGGGCACTGACAGACAAATTAAACACTAAGGGTCCAGGAAATCTCCCTTTTTCACATGACAGCATCTCTGATGGAGCTCTAGTCACTGAACTGTGTTGAACCATTCCATCTAGTCCTAGACAGGTAGAGAAGTTTGAAAAACAGAGGATCACCCTCTAAGGATAGTCAAAGATATCCTTCGATAATGGTCTCCACACATGCATTCCCAATAATACCCCATGTCTATTTGTGAGGGCAAATACAGGGGAAATGATGACAAAAATGCAATGGCTCAAATGCAGTAGAACTTTAATGAATCAAAAGATGAAAACTAGGTAAATCTGAGTTAAAGGAGCACCAGAGGCAGATAGGAGTCATCACCAAATAAGTGGTGAAGATCTCAGAAGATGTCCATCTGCCTGCCCTACAGAGGGAGCAGGGCCAGCAGATTTTCCCCACAATGGCTGTGTGGGACTCACAGTCCCAGGGAGCACAAGGGAACAAGGAGACAGGAGGGAAAGGAGAGAGTGTCAGGGGACAGAGGCAGGGCAGGGCTGTGCTTCCCAAGAGCCCAGGCTGGCCCTGTCCCTGGGCAAGGGCTGCTGGGCTTGCTCAGCCCCTCAGGAAGCAAGGAGCCGATGCTGCGTGCCCAGGGCGGTTCCATCCTGGGAGTCCCTGGCTTCCTTCCCCAGGGCCAGCAGCAGCAGCTTCAGCAGGGGAAGCACCTGGAGCCACAGAGGCCACTGCCCAGGCCAGAGAGGCCAAAGCCCCCAGAGTTGATGGGCACTCCCTGAGAGCTGAGGATGCTGCCAACAGCAGCAGAGGTGGAGGATCCCACGGCGGTGTTCTGTGGGAAGGAGCTGAGGATGGGGCCAGGCAGGGTCACCACCACAGGTGAGGGCTGGATGGCTACGTGGGAGTCCTGGCACTGCCTGACACAGGGCTCATTGCAGCTGTTGGCCAGCGGGGTGGGGCCACAGGGCTGGCAGGGCCGGCACGGGCTGTAGCAGGACATGGCTTGGGGCTGCAGATGAACCTGAGACAGAGAGAAGAGGGAAGCAGAACAGAAACTGGATGAAGAGCAGTCTTTTCCCCCACTAAGGCTGAGATAAGTCACAAGTTGGAGAAAAGAGCTGGGAACTTTGCAGTGAGATCCACAGCTATCACATTCCTTTCTGCCCAAAAGAACCCCCTGGACAGCAACCAACCTCAAAGAGGTTCCTTTTTAGTCCATTGCCATGAGATACGTAACCAAGTTTCAGCCTCTGGTGATGACAGAACTTCCTCCCCTTCCCTCTCCCATGATAGCAGTTCCAAGAGCCCACGTAGGACTGGGGCAGGTATGAGCTGAGGTGCATTGGAGGAATATGAAGAGAAAGAGAAGCAAAGACAAGAAAAAGCTTCAACTCACCTTGTACTGAAGGAGATGGAGCTGAAGGAGTGGATGAGAGAGTGAGGGGAAGGACCTGCTTTTATACTGCTCTTGCACTGCCCCAGGCCCACAGACATTGCATGACAGCAGTAATTTTCCTAGACTTACTTCAAAAACAAAATGTTCTACCTAGTGGCACAGGTTGTGTTTGGTTTCTGTCAACCACTGCTGCCATTCCATTTCCTCATTTTCAACATTCCTGCTCTACTTTCATGTGCTGAGATGAGGCACCCAAGGATATCCTGGGTGATGCTTTGTCAGTGAAGGCAGAACGTGTTTGAAGTGTGGTGGGGTCCCATGAACGCAGGGGATGTTGGCTTGGAGTGAATGGCAATTGTATACAGCTCCCTTTGTAGCAAGAATTTTCAGCTGTCTTCCTATAATTGAGCTTTTCTCTGGGGAGAATGTTTGCCAGTTTGTCTGAGCATGCAGGACTAGGGACAACTAAAGCCTGGCTGGGTTTGAACCAGGCAAAATACATGATGGGCACAAGAAATTCTTCCAGGTAGATGAGAAGTCCAGAGGCTAACTGGAGCAGCTTCACTGAGGATGAGGAAAGGTGGAGGTACTCAAGGGATTCTTGGTTTTTACCAGCAGGAATTGCTGTCAAGAGACTGGGCTCCTTGGAAAGTCATCTGCCGGAAAGGTTTACGTGCACAAGGTCCTACTGGGGGAAGAAAAATCTCATCCCCACTACAGGCTGGAGATGATTGGCTGCCAAAGAGGTTTGCAGCAGAGGACAGGGGTTCTTGAGGGCACCATGAGACAGCCCTGGGCTCTTGTGGAAATGGCATCTGACAATATCCTGGGCTGCTCAGGAAGGGGGTGTCTTTCAGATGATGGAAGATGATCTCAGAAGTGCGGAGATAGAGGAGACAATGCCTCTCTTAGTCTTCACCTACAAGATCTCCCAGGTTGCTGCACCCCCTAAGAGTTCTGAGAAGGTGGGGGAGCCTTCCCAGCAGTGAATGAGTGTCAAAAAAAAGACTGCCTGACAAGAGTCAACCAGTGAAAGCCTGCTAATACATTCTGGGTCATGGCTTCTATAAAGTGAGTTGTTGACTATCTGGGCTACAGGGGCCCTCTAGCATTCAAGAAGAACAAACAGCAAGATCTGCACTTGGAAATTAAAAGCCTCTTCCAGCAGTATGGGCTGGAGACTGAACTATGCTACAGTCTTAGAGCCTCTCTTTTCTCTTGTGAGAGATGCCTTGGGGAGAGGCTTGGAGGGTGGAGTGGCTGCACAAGCCTCATTCTTCTGGACAAAGAGACCATGCTGTGTTGAGGAGCTCTCCTGAATGCTCTGTGGAGGGATAGAAGGGGTTGCAGAAAACATCTCCCCACTGGTTGGAACTCCTCAATGGTCCCGTGCATTGAGTATTCTCTTGGCATCTGTGCTTCAGCATACCTTGTTTACCATGCCCAAAAAGACTTGCTTGGAGGGCAACCCAGCACCCTTGGGGAAGCAGGAACTTGTCCAACTCCCTAGTAAATGAGAGATGTCAGTGCCACGCACCTCAGAACACTGAGGGAGGGGATGTGCTCATAAGGGCTCTGGGTACAAAACCAGCTGTCAAACCACATAAAGGAGTGATGCACTTCTCTGCCCTGCAGACATGGAGGCAGCTGGGGAGTGCCCCAGGAGGGCAAGGGAATGCCTTGAGTAGGCAAATTTCTAGGGGGAGACTCTCCCTACCAGTGGCAAGTCACGCTCTAATTTTGGGTTGGCTGTGTGTCAGCCTTTTTGTGTGAGGCCCAGCCAGGAGGGTGTGGTGTCTGTAGACCCATGCCCCTTGCAGGGTCACAATTGTCCTCCAGCAAGGGCAGATTCATGCATAACCCAGGAAAGGTGGTGCAAGCACTGGGCTGTACCCGAGTACACTGCTTCAGGCAGCCACAACAGCCATTGCTGACAGTGTGACCTTCTTGCCAACACTCCCACAGCTTCAGGGGCTCACAGGACAGTCAACATGTTTTTCAAAAGTTTTTCCTGCTGGTCAGGGTTTAAGCACGCAGCCAAAGCTCATGGCACTGTGAGGAGAATGGGACAAACAAGGTGCTGTGCCAAGTCCCAACACACCCCTCATGTACTGAGGAGAGACTCCACCAGAACTGTAACCATGGTCCTTAGGAAGGATGACATTTTCTTTCTTCATGCTGACTGAAGGCAGTGATATGAAACCCCCAGAGACTGCCATGAGACCGGATGACACTTCCAAGTAAATGTGTAAAGGATTGAGGGAGAAGGTTAAGTCACATCATTAGGCGCAGGTGCCTTTGTGTACCCAGGACAGACTCCTGCACTGGCGGGGGGAGAGTCAAATCTTTCTGTAATGAGGTTTGAAAGGAACATCACCAGGTTTCCCAGTTCCATGTCCTACATCTGCACAGACCCCTCCTGCACTTGAGGGTACATCTTCTGGTGACAGGGACATGATCCATCTTGGGAAATCATTTGATCTGTCATCCTGGAACTTGAAATGAGCCTGCATTGCATAATGGGCACGTCAGAAATGAGGAAATGCACTGGCAATGGTGATGGAAAACAAAACACGACCTGGGGCATTAGGTGGGATATTTTGTTTTGGAGATGAGTGTGTTGGAAAATTACTGTCCTCACACAGTGACTGTGGGCCTGGGGCAGCACAGGAGCAGTATAAAAGCAGCTCCATCTCCTCACTGTCTCATCCACTCCTCTCCTCCACACAGTCTCCTTGGGAACAAGGTAAGTCTGAAGCTCTTTATTCTTCTTTTATTCATTCTAATCATTATGCTTCCATGGGATTTTTCAGCACAAAGCTGTCTGTTCTATACATGATTCTGGAGTTACTTTCTATGGGAGATGGAAAGGTGCAAAAGAGGTGTCATGGAGACAGGCTGGAGCTCATTTAGGTGTCTCCTGTGGCGTGGGCTAGGAAAGGATCTCCCAGAGCTCAGTAGCGTTTTGCAAGTCTCTTTTGGGCTTTGGAGAACGAGAAGCCTGTGGGCTTCCCTATGATCCTTCCAGCTCTTTGTGTGAGCTCATGTCTTCTCTCTCTTGTGGTGGTGTTACAGGCTTCTACTCACTTATGCTTTTCTACCCTCTGTCCTCTCTGCCAGGTGCATCTGCAGCCCCAAGCCATGTCCTGCTACAGCCCGTGCCGGCCCTGCCAGCCCTGTGGCCCCACCCCGCTGGCCAACAGCTGCAATGAGCCCTGTGTCAGGCAGTGCCAGGACTCCCACGTAGCCATCCAGCCCTCCCCTGTGGTGGTGACCCTGCCTGGCCCCATCCTCAGCTCCTTCCCACAGAACACCGCCGTGGGATCCTCCACCTCTGCTGCTGTTGGCAGCATCCTCAGCTCTCAGGGAGTGCCCATCAACTCTGGGGGCTTTGGCCTCTCTGGCCTGGGCAGTGGCCTCTGTGGCAGGAGGTGCTTCCCCTGCTAAAGCTGCTGGCCATGATTTCAGGATGGAACCGAAGGACTCAGCAGGATGGCTCTTCACTGGGGATGGAGCATCAGCTTGTTGCTTCCTGAGGAGCTGAGCAAGCCCAGCAGCCCTTGCAGAAGGACTCTTGGGAAGCACAGCCCATCCCTGCCTCTGCCCTCTTCCCCTCTGTTGTTTCCCTCCTGTGTCCTTGTTCCCTTGTGCTCCCTGGGGCTGTGAGCCCCAAACATCCAGCCAGGGGAGGGCCTGCTGGTCCTGCTCCCTCTGTAGGGCAGGCAGATGGACTTCTCGAGAGTTCTCAGCCACAGCCATGGAGCACAATCTCTTATCTGTCCCTCGTGCTTACTGCACCATGACCATCGCTTGAAATGATCTAATTTCCCTCTCTTGACTCATTAAATTTATACTGCATTTGAACCATTGCCTCGTGTCATTTTTCCTGCAGATGCTCTCCCAAGGCAACTAGGGAAAGAAAAGTTGGTCAGTCTTTATTCTGGAAGGTGTTTGGGGATGCTCTGAAGCAACTGGTAACACAGGCTTACATCAAGTTTGCTTAGTCAGACACTGGATTACTTTCTGCTTTCTAAATCTTGCAAAACTAGCAGGATAATGACATTCCAGATGCCAAAGGGATTTTATTGCTAATGGCATCCAGGGCCAGCTTTAATCTCTGTGGATGGAAAGTTCAAATGGAGCACCACTTTTTCTCTAGTGCACCAGGATAACTTGGTCCATATCTGCCAATCCATTTCCACTTTGTTGTTAGAGGGTCCACTATCCCCAAAAACTTCATACCAGAATCCCATTACTTATGCTTAAATGCTCCATCTGTAAACAGTCCTTCCTTTTTTTTTGTGGGATAAAAGCCTCTGCAACACCAAAAAAGTTTTTTGTCACTGAAGTGTTGGAGTTAGTGGAGCCTTTGACAGTTTCTTTCAGCCCTTGGAACAGTACAGTGAGAGCAGGTCATTGTAGGCTAGTCTACAAGGAAGTGTGGTCTTGGGACGTGGGGAGATAAAATTTCCACTGCAGAATCTTTTCACCCCTTTGTCCATCCTCTGAAGAGTGGCTGCTATCAGAACGAGGTTCATTGCCTGGACATGTGTGGCTGTGGAAGTGAAATAGCAACTGCACCTGGATCTCAGCCTTCATAGAATCACCGAATACCCTGAGCTGGAAGGCACCCACAAGGATCACTGAGTCCAAATCCTGGCCTTGCACAGACACCACAGCCATCCCCCCCTGTGCCTGAGAGCATTGTCCAAATGTTCCTTGAGCTCTGGCAGCCTTGGGACTATGACCATTGCCTGGAGAGCCTGTTCAATATCTGACCACTCTCTAGGGAAAGACTCTTTTCCTGATATCCAAACTAAATCTGCTGCTGAGAAGCAGCTGACCAATGCCCACCTTTCTCTCTGGCAGCCGGGGAGATCATGGAGACAGACAAAGACCACACAGAGGCACAGGCTGGGATGCAACAAAACTTTAATTAAGAAGAAAAACAGCCCCTCTGAGTGGGCACCATAGTGCAGGGAGCACCAGGGGGATGTAAGAGACTTGGCCATGAGTCCCTTGGCCATGGTGCAGTTCACACCTTGGATGGGGCTTAGCCAGTGATCACAGCCCAGAGGAGGACATGAGAGCAGAGACAGGAAAGAACAGGAAGGAAACAGGCAAGTTAGACAAAGGCCATGGTTTCAGAGAGCCCAGGCACGGCTCTTCCCAAATGCCATGGATGCTCAGTGCCTCTAAATGACCATGTTCAGTCCATTTCCATCTTCTGGGTTCCGAGGGGTCGTTCTGTGGGGCGGTCAACAGCAGCTTTAGCAGACCCTGTTGTGGTGGTGCCTGGTGATGCAGGAGAGATCAAAGCCCCCAGAGCTGATGGGCACTCCCTGAGAGCTGAGGATGCTGCCAACAGCAGCAGAGCTGGAGGATCCCACGGCAGTGTTCTGGGAGAAGGAGCTGAGGATGGGCCCAGGCAGGGTCACCACCACAGGGGAGGGCTCGATGATGATGGTGGAGCTCTGGCACTGCCTGACACAGGGCTCATTGCAGCTGTTGGCCAGCGGGGTGGGGCCGCAGGGCTGGCTGCAGGGGTTGCAGGGCTGGTAGCAAGGGTGGCAGGGCTGGCAGCTGGACATGGCTCTGAGTCACAGTTGCACCTGGGAGAGAAGAAAGAGACAAGATGGGTATTATATTTCTTTTTCTTGAGCCTGGTCTTATAAGCTGTCAAAAGAATATATAATACACCCAAGGATAGGTCAGCTATTATTTTGGGGGCATAAAATAAGCAGGATGACTTCTGCTGCAGTGTTAGAAACAAAAAGGTTTAATGAAAGGCAAAATAACAAACAGAAAAACCCAAGCCAGGTGCAGAGGTCTGATCCTGGTTAAAACACCTCACAAATGCCCCTAGTTCCTTTGTTCTCTTTTTTTTCTACTTGATTGTTCAGGAGGAACTTTTTGGCTTCTATCCAATTAGATGCCATCAAGTTTTTGGTGAAGTCCCTGAGGTCCTATGAGGTGGCTTTTCACCTAATCATTGAGAGAAACTTCTGGGCTTCCTGTGCCTGCTGTGTCCCCTCCCTAGTTCTTGTGCCCCACTAAGCTGGGGGGGAATGTGAGAAGCAGTAGAGGCCTTGATGTGGTGAAAGCACCACTGACCAAAGAGCCCTGCTCCTCCTGAGCAGCTGTGGGCTTGTGTGGCAAAGGCGACTGAGAGAAACCTCTTGGGTGGGCAAAGCTGGAGCATCCTGGGAGAGGATATGATGAGGTGGTTTGTGTTTGTAGAGGACTATCAGAGAGAGTCCTTGGAGTGGATGAGGCCCAACAAATGCACCAAGAACTTCTGAGAGCAGCATTAAAAGGAAGAGAGACAAGAGAAGCAGTGCTGATGACCAACCTGCAAAGGCAATGGCCACTGTCGATCAGAGATTTTGGAGGGTGGGAGGAGGAGGATGTGGCACATCATCACGTTCAGTGACCCTTTAGCATCTGAGCAAGCATTCCAGGGCTTGGAGCAGCAGGGTCCTTCCTGCCCACGGGGCTGCAAACAAGCCCACGGGAGTGCCCCAAGCCAATGTCCCCAGACTGCAGGCAATGCCTCTGGCACTCAAGACTCATCTTCTGCTGACACCAATGAGCTTCTGTCCCACAAGTCCATGGGCTTCCATGATCAGCTCTAAAAAGGAGCCTTCAGGGAGAAACGTGTGTGGCCAAAGAAGGCAATGAAAATGTGGCCACACAGGAAAACAAAACAGGACCCCCCGGAACCCAGAAGATGGAAATGGACTGAGTGTGGAGATCCTGACCATTGCTTTCAGCAGCACTGAGCATCCATAACTCCACCTGCAATGGAGAAGGGATGTCTGGGCTCTCTGAAACCATGGTCTTTGTCTAAATTGCCTGTTTCTCCCACACTTCTTTCTCTCTTTTTCCTCTCTGTTGTTTTGTCCTCCTCTGTGACACTGGCTGTGATCACTGGCTAAGCCCCATCCAAGTTGTGAACTTCACCGTGGCCAAGGGACAGAGTCTCATTTGTCCCTCTGCTGTTCTGTGCACTACGGTGCCCACTCAGAGGACTTCCTTTCCCTCTTCCAACTTCCAACTCATTAAAGTTTTGTTGCATCCCAGCCTGTGCCTCTTTGTGGTCCTTCTCTCTCCCTACGTTGTCTCCAGCTGCCAGAGTGAAAGATGTTGCTCTGGGGGGATGTGGCAGGCACAGATGAGAGCCCTGGGTCTTCCTTGAGTGATGGAAGGGTGAGACACTATAGCAGGATATTCTGCTCTGTAATGTGGGCAAGCAACTTGGAGAATGCCTTATTTGCCAGGCTATCAGTAGTGGACTGAAGGGTGGCAAGGGGATCTCTCTGGCTCAGTAAACCCAGGTCAGCATCCTTACATTGCTGCAATGACAGACACAAGACTAAGAGTCAATCCCTCTATACTATAGAAGTCCAGTCCAATTTAAGACAATAGGTTCTTCTAACATTTTACATTTCCCTGCTTGGGTGTGTGTATGAACTCTCCTGCCCTGGAGTGGAAATGTCCCTTTAAGACTACTCCTTTACGTCAAGTAAAAGAGATCTGCCCATTAGCGTTGGTTTGCTGAGTTGCACCAATATCTATTTCAATAATTCTTCATTTTTGCTAGGTTTAATATAATTGCTTTAATATAATTACTTTATATAGTGCAGTATCTTATATTCTACACAGTACTAATAGTTGTAGGTTTTATACTGTGTAGTAAATTATTCTGATTAATATATTTTGTTTAATGATTTGTCATTATATATATATACATATATATGTATGTATGTATGTATCTAAAATTTTCCAGAATTAATCCTGTGGGACAAAGTTACTTAAACCACTCACAGTCTAGGGCTAGGATTGGATGCAGCCTAACCCAGATTCCTCTTTGAGGAGGAATCTAGAAAGCCAGGATGTCCTCTCTGCATCTCACAACTCAGCAGGACTTCTCTAAAAAACTGTCTGAATCTCCTTCTCCACCAGTGACAATTTGGTGCAGTTGGCAGGATGGCAAATTTTGCGAAACAGACAAAACAGAATATTTACTGAGGTACAGTATAGTCAAGAAAATGTGGGACATGGTAAGAGAAAAGGAAAAATTCGCTGCCATTTTGGTGAGAGAAGTATGTTGCCAAGAAATGAAATAAGGCATTTAGTCTTTGTTTTATTTAACTGAAGCTTTGTAAATTAAAAGTGGAACACCTAGGAGAGAAAGCTGAAAAGGAATTTATGGTAAAAAGAGACTGGCTGAAAACTTGAAGAACCAGTTGTATGACTTCTTCCAAAGAGAAAGAGAATTAAATTTGCAAACTCCTTGTCTCAGTATGGAGCTGGAGAAGAAGCAGTTTTCCAGCCTTACTAATGAAGTAGAGTGGGAGGCAGACTACATTCAATATGATCTCCCCATTCTTTATTCATTGTCATAAAAATTTGATACAGTAAAGCCAAACTCCCCACCTCACCCTAAACTCTGCCAATTTGTAAAAATTGAATTAATTTATGAGGTAGAGCCCACTGTAACAACTAAAGATAAACCTTGTGTTGTGATGCAGTTGGCTAAACTGCAAGAGCAATGTAGCAGGGATTCAAAAAGATCAAACTAGGCCAGCACCTCTGTCAGAGCACACAGTCATGTGTGCAGCAGTGGGATGGCACACAGCACTCTTATACAAGGCCATTTATGTAAGTTAGGTGCTGTGTAGGATGGCAA